CTGCTGCCAGGGTAAGCCAGCAGCCTTCCCACAAGGCTTCCCAGTATGCAGAATGTCTCGGACTTTCAATGCACCCATCAACACCACTACTTGGGGGTCTGCCTCACACCTGGGATCAACCTGTACCTACTCCCTCCCAGTCTCACTTGCAGGGGTTCCTATCCCATCCCAGACAAACCTGTAGTCCAGAGAGCTTCACTTTGTAAGTTTAGCCAGCTTCTGCTTGTGTCTAGTGTAGATGTTCACTCACCAAACTTATCACTTAAATTCTAAAAATCTTACTGGTCTGAAATTTATGATTTCATTTTTCAAAAGTGCTATAGGATTGAACCTAAGATAACATTCACATGAGTATTATACGGCTTGAAAGGTTACATTGCTTCAGACATTTAATCAGACACTGAAGTAAGACCCACTACCTTCTAAACATCAGGAAAATTTTCACACTCTATCACAGACACAGGAAAAACAAAATGTTGTAGAGTAGCAACAACTAATAAATTTAAAGAATAATTGCATGTTTTTGATAACAATTTTGCCATTTCATTCTTTGGCTCCCTCAGAACATTTGCTTGCTCCAGTGAGTTGTTGCCTTTAAAGTACTCAACACTTCCTGCTCTAATCCTGCTTCAATAGTTTTATGCAAAGAGAGTTAATTAGGAAAGAGAGCAAAAGAGAATTATATCACTGTAACAACAGTACTTGGCATTTAGTAGCCTCTTTAGTTTGAAACTCTCAGTAATAATTTTAATAATTATTATTAAAATAATTCTCACAAACTACTGCAAAATAAAAAGGCTTCTAAAAGTCTATGCTTTGCTACAGAGCAAAGCTAGGAGTATGGCTGCATGTTCTCAGGTCTGTAACTATGCCTACCAGACTGTCCATCCTTACCTTGCTTTTTTTGGAGTCACAGAGAGACAGGAACAAGTGGAATTAACATATAACCAACCAAGAATATTTTTCCCAGATGTCACATCAGGCTGACAGCCATGAGCAAGCATGTAGGCTGCTACCCACTTTTGGAAATAAAAGGTACATAAATGTGCTCAGATGTCTCTTGCACATGGAATACATTAGGTTATGTCACATTGCAATCTTGTATGAGCAGCACTGTCTAAGCATCTCCAAAATGGTGATACCCACCTTAGGAAATACCACTTTCAGGAGACAACTCGGACAATTAAAATACAGTGGTGGCAAAAAGCTAAGTAGGCATTTTCCTGTGCAGACCTTTAGGCAAGACCAGAGCCTTGGAATCACGCTCTGCTTTTAAATTTCATGGCCAGGTAAACATTTTCAGCCCAGCTCAGTCCTTTGTGAATCCCTTGTGTACACCCCTTCTATTAGTCAATACTGCTTGTGCAGAAGAAAAAAAAAACCTCAACCCAAAACAAACAACAAGCCATATTAAAACCTGAAAAGCTGATCTCTGCTCTGGCAAATCTTTTTTCCTCGTCCTTCAAAGCCCTCACCTTTCACTCTTTATATATGGTGAAAAGACAACAGTCATTTGAAATATGAAAGCTCTCCAGGTAGAGAAGTGACAACACAAGGCTAAATGCAATAAGACTAAAACCTTTTCTTCTTTTGAGATTGGTGTGTAGGAAAAGAACCAAGGATTTGTTGAAAAAGCAAACTGGTAAAGAAAAACACATAAATAGTGAATGTTGATCTCCCCCATAAAAGACCAAAAGGAAAATTAAGACATTAGAAGAGAACTCACACTTAAAATAGAAAACATTGCTATATCCATTTTTACATCATGTATTGCTAGCCTTTAGGTGATGGTCAGAAAAGTCAGAATCTCCCCTTTGTTCACAGTTTCAATATTATTGCTTTCCTTCTGTATTACTCTGGCAGTTTAGTAGCCTGAGGTCAGGCTCCAATTTGCCAAACTCCACATTATTAACCTGATGATGTATTTACTTCTTTCTCCTCAGCACAATATTACAACCCACACATTGCAGAGAATATAATGTATTACAGTCTGCCTTATGAGCTGCATACTTAGTCAAAAAAACAAAATACAGAATATTCATAAAGAACTTATGCCCATAAAATTAAATAAGCAACATATGACTTTATCATATTCAGCTGTACTTCTAAGAGTTGTTAGTTTTCCTCCATATTGCTGTGCAACAGTATGTAGCCAGAGTTTTCAGAGTTTCCTAACTGATGAAACACAAGAACCTGCCTTGTCAGTATGGCCCACAAAAAAGTCTATCAGAATTTAACTTTTTATGCTACCTTTTGTACGAAGACTCTTATTGACAGTGTAAGTGACAGGTTTCATGCTCTGCAACAGTTCCACAGTAGGAAAAACTGTTGCTTCTCCCTTCCGAAGTATTCCTTATCAAGGGTATCATAACTGCCTTACCATCCTGTCCAGCTCAGGGGTTAAACAAAACAGGTTCTTTCTGGGTCTTCTACAGTCTAATCATCCAAATTTAACACACTTTAATGAAAATGAATAAGAAAAATCTTAAACCAGTTTTTTAGTTATTGTTGGCTTCATTAGTCTATTAATTTATCTATTAGTCATGGAGCCTGCAAATTGGCAATGTCAAAGCTTTTGCTGACTGCTAATTCTCTTATGTGATGTATATTGTAAAAATAAAAAAGATACATTAAAATGCCAGCAATATATACAGCACGACATTTTCCACTCTCCCTAAAATGATTTATCATGGTCATGTTCACACTCATTCAGCCTCCTGTACCATAATTTATTGGGAAACTGTTCCATAATTGCTGGTATGACTTTGACAAGAATTATATGATGAGAAGGTTTCAATCATTAACCATCTAGAAATATCCAGTGTTATCCTCACATATGGCAATAAAAGCTACATTGGCACTTCATCCAGTCACATCACTTTTCATATTCATTCATATTACCAATTTAGGGTGCTTTCCACTAGCTGCTCTGAAGAGTCCAAGGAGGCAGCAAGACAGAATTTTAAAGCCTTTTCAAAGTAAAATCCAACAGCCCCTGAACCAAAATCCCCTACCCCCAGCTATCTTTGTGTTTGAGCAAAAGCCAATGAAAACCAAAACATATAAAAATAATACTACAAGCAAGGAAAAAAAATTAAAAATACAGTTGCTACGTGGATGGTGAGATGAAATGGATGTTTTACTGCGTCTACGTGCAGAGAAGAAGTGTGCATGCTCCTTTCCCTGGGTACAGCACTTGTACTGCAGTTCATGCTGCATTGCATGCTGCAGCTCCATTTCTTTCTGCAGAAGAAATTGCTCACCCATTCATTCTCCTCCTTTAACACTGAAAGAACTGAGGCAAAAAAACAAACACCTCGGAGTAGCCCTTCCAGGCCACATTTACATGCCTAAGTACTCATTAAGCATATCACCCTCTATGGGATACTCTGGATGCTTCACACCATCAACCTTTATAGCATTATTTTAAAATCATGCTTCACGTTTCCATGATCAAATATGGACTTAAAAGTTAAGCACCCATTCCATTCTGATGACAGGTATACCTTGCTCTGTACCGTTGCTAGGGTAACAGATGTGGTAGCCATTAGATTTACGGTCAAATGTATTCCCAGGAGGTTTTTGCTTTGTTTTTGGTTTTTGTTTTTTTTTTATTCCTGGTTGCATGGTTGTGTCAAATTAATTACAAAGAAAATTCAGAGAATATGCTCTCAGCTGAGACCAGCAGCTCCTGCAAGTTTTGCATTTACCTTCTTCAGGCTTAAATGTAGGAGATAAAATACACAGATGCTTTAAACAAATGATATCAAAATTCTTGCTGCAGATGGAGCTAATGAAAAATTAAAAGGTTATATCATAACCAAGACTTAATTAACTAACTACAGCTATCCAAAGTCCTGTACACTGTAAAAGGGAAAATATTTATCACCTGTGAGAAAATACTTTTTGGACCTACTTAAGCAATGGAAATTATTAAAAAATTCCATACACATTTCCTGCCCATTATTGAGCATACATCAGAATTCTTCTCCTGATATAACATTTAAAAAGTATCTTGTGGTGTGACTATTTACATTCAAAACAGTAAATATTAAAGTTTTCATTAAAAACTCTTGGGTTTCAAAATTTTCTTAAGAGGTAGGGGAAGAAACTTCCTCAGCAGCAGCTAAGAAAATAGTATCAGAGCTTCCGTACAAGTAGCTGGGAAAATATTCCTAAGCCAATGATTTTTATTTGATTTTTTAAAATTATTTGCCTCTTTTTCATGGATCACAGTTTTAAAATACGTTTCTGTTCTAAACCAATTTTTCTGTATCAACCTTTGTAAGAACTTCTTTGAAATCTAGTAGAGAGCTCTGATATTTTCTGAAGTGCTCCCACTGATATTATGGCCACACTGTACACCCAGCCCTCAAAAAAGCCCCACAGGAAAGCTCAAGTTGTCTTGAGGGGAATTAATACAGTCTTCATCTCAAAGAGATCCTGGAGAATTACATCCACACAAACAAGAGTCTCTTAAAAACGGAAGTCTAACATAACTGGACTAGTACTCTATGAGGTAGTACAACCAGTGTTAATTTGTAGTGAAACAAATATTTAAAACATTAGGTGCTTACAGAAAGGATGAACAATATGGTGTTTAAATTGAATTACCACTTTCTAAAACAATAATGTATCTCTGTTGTTGGATTTACAAAAAGAGATATTCACAGATGACACAAAACTACTTTAAGCAACTGTGGGCTCACGCTGCCAAAGAAACCACTTCCCAAGAGACTCCAGAGCATGTTTCCTACTTGTCCATGAGATTATATACTTCCTGTTCCAGTGCTGTACATAGTGACCATGTTGCTTCTAAATCTTTTTCAAGCCACTTTAGGAAGTGAAAAAAGTAAATTCAAAAAATCAACAATTTTTGGCTCTAGTGCTATCATCCAATGCTGTAAGCAAGCAAATCTAGAGCTAACAAGAACAGCCACATTACAGGAATAAATCTATCATCCCACCAGATGGTACCAACAACCAGAGTATTTCCTTACCTGCCTCCTGTCTCTCTGAGATGATGATGAGGAGGAGGCACTTCTATGTGATGGAGTGGATGTTTTGTGAGCTGGAGATATACTCTTCTCCTCTGAACTCATCTTTGCAGAAAACTTGTATTAATGATCTTGTGCTCTTATCACTCATGGACAAAAATGCAGGGGATAGTCTTCTGCATCCTTCTGTTTCACAGTTTATGGACAGCCAAAGAGGAAGTCAGTCTCAGCTAAACTCCACCTTAATAAAGAAAAATGTGGGAGAAAGAGTGAATGAACATACCCTCACTCCAAAGTAGCTCTGCAGCAAAGAAATCTGTTGACTATTTAATCCAACACATCTCCCAGTCTTTTACTCCCCTTCCCAACAGCTACCCAGCACAAATACAAATGCATTGTTCTGCATTCTCACAGAAGATTGAAGTGGTATTATTTTTTAAAACCCTAAGGAAAGGCTTAAGTAATTTACAGCAGCTCTCAGGCAAAGTTTAAAAACCCTTGATAACACGATGACATTATCAAGTAACTCCTCAGGCATTCCCTTCCCTATAGCACAAATACCACTGTACACCCCATTATAAACAGTACGTTGTAAAAATCCTGCAGTTAGATCAAGAACTCTGCAAGTATTTTAAAAAGCAGGTGCCTCTCTCAAAGGTGGTGCCCTCACCTGCAGTATCAAAGGCTTCACTGAGGCAGGGGGAGTGCCTGGCTGGGGGCTGCTGGCCAGGGCTCCCCCACCCCCGTGCAGGGTGCCTTCCCTTTTCTCTTTACTCAGCCACTGCTAGGTATGCTGCTGCTTTACAAGTAGCAGGGAATTTCTCTCACTACCCTCCACCCAAACCTTTAATTTCCACCTAGAAACAGAAAAACAATACTTAGAGCAGCTCAGAGGATATTTGTGTCAATAAACAGTCAAACACTACCTGTCAAACCCTATCAAAATGCTGCAAGTACACCATGACAGTTCAGGAATGGAGCCACACTTCTCCATGTTTAACAGAGCACCGTGATCCTGCTTCAGCTGACTGATATAGAGTCTGATCTTCCATTAACCTTGGATAAAATTGTTCCCTGAATGAGATGTTAGCTTCAGGCAGATGACATATCTTCTCCACTGCCCTCCTAATTTTGAAATAGTGCCCTTCCACAGCCACTGTGCTGACAGCACACCAAGGGTCAGCACAGCACAGCTAGCTGCAGATGGTGTGGAGAAAGGTGCTGTCCTGCATCATGTTAAATCAGATCAGGACAAACATACATTAACTCTCAGACATGAATGCACACTCAAGAAGAAATTATTCCATATTGAAGACAAAACTCTAGCTTCTCCAGACATGACAGCTAACCATGGAAGAATATCATCCTGAACCCAGATACTCACACACAGGCAGCTAAATAATTATTTACATAATGCCACCAACTTCTGAATACTGCACCCTAAGAAAAATGCACCTGCTGGAGCCAAGATCTGTGATTATTCAAAACCTTTTCTGCTTGCTGTACTAAGGGCGAGTGGAATGACTTCAGTTTATTAGTTACAAGTACTTTTGCAGTATGAGTATCATCCATATCTTATGAATGAGCTTCAATCTCCATTAAGGAGACACCCATAGAATTACAAACCCACATATTACCCACAGAGGCCACACAGCATCCCAGTGAGTGGGAGGACATGGCTGTTCCAACAGCAAAAGCTGCCCACATTCTCTGAACATCTTGGCAAATTCTGTATTCTTTTCAGGATGACAAGTTCCTGCTAGAAGAAGCCTAACAAGATTGGTTATGCTGGAGCTGCCAAAGCCAGCTACAAGACTAGAGGTTGCAGGAAGAAAGAAACAAGCTGCACAGCACATTTGTTTCAGAACTTCAGAGAGAAAACCTAATGAAGACGAACCCAAAGAAAGGCTTTTCCTTTTATCCTAACATACCAGGGGACTGCTGGTCTAGTTTTAACAGCATTTTCATATCTTACAAATGCATCAGGGAAATTTTAGTCAACGAGGTGTACCAACAGGGATATCTCAAGGTCTATTTCATTTAAATAAAAAATGAAATTACAAAAATCAGAACAAAAATACAATCCTAGTTCACAGAGCTATGCAGAACATTTGAGTTATTTAACAGGAAATCTGTAGTCACTTTCAGCTATGAGGTCACTGAATTTTTTTTAGCAGAGTAGCCTTCGGGCAAATAAAAATCAAGCCCTTTTTAAAACATCTGATCTTCACTCAAGTTGACTCAAGTGGAAAAATTTATATTTAGTAATAGCACAGAGGACAATGGTCTGGCACTTCAAGTGTGTTCTGAAGGCACTTGGAAGCAGTAGATGCTGTTGTAAAAGCAACCACAATGCTAACAAGGAGTACACAAGAAAATCTCTTCTGTAAATAGCTGCCAAGTTTGGGATTCTGTCAAGTATGGACTTTTTCTTTTGAAAGGTATTAAATAAAAGTAGTGGCTTACACCTGAGCCAAGCTCCACAATGGTTTTGTTGTGCTCTCCAAGCACTAAGAGCTGAACCTAACCAGCAACTTGTTCAAACCACACTGACTTGTGACCACAACAAAACAAAAAACACAAAAAATACTAAACCACCCCCTTCACAAAGAAAAGCAAACATTTCTTCTTGCCCTATTTCACAGCAAAAATAGCTTCAATACTAAACCACTATTACTTATACATAGAAATTTCTGATTAATTAACAGTGCAATTCAGGGTTAAAAGTCAAAAAAAAAGACAACTGGAATATTTGGGAAAACATGACTTCTAAGAGGAGCAAAAAAAATTATGCAAATTAGTAAGAGTTAGAAGAGATCTCTTTCTTCTTGTTCTTGAACACTGAATTTGGATTCTTTCTATATTGCTAAGGTTCTATCTTCCAATTTTTGCTTAAATTTGAGCAATAGATCTTTTTTAGAGCATGTTAGAAGGAATAAATCCAGTGGAATTGACATAAAGAGAAGACAGTCTCTCTGTAACTATGATTGAAGCGTACAATTAGAAATCTAATTTTTGGCCAACAAATTGAACTTACCAAAATGAAAATGATGCTTTTGAAACATTTTTAACAGGCTTTTTCCATCAGTCACTGGCAATTTTGCTATTGATTCCAATGAGAGCAGAATCAAGTTATATACCATGGTAGTATGTTTCTAGAGAGTAACAGAAAATCTAAAAACACATCCAAAAACTATGCTGATGGGTTTTGGATGAGTGGGGATGACCTCCTGGTAATCATGCATTTGTTCTGATACTGTTTCCTGACAAGTATAAGGCAAATTTTATTATCCCTTTACTTCACAGCAAATATATCCTCTACATGGAAGTACTTCAATCAATTTCATCGGAAATCAATCTGAAAAAAAATCACAACATAGGCAAGGGTAACAGCACTGCTGTTGGTTATTAATTGCTGTATATCCAAGTAATAGCAACTTGTAGGCTGCATTTTGCAAACACCAATTAAATCACCCACGAGCTGCTCAGAACCACCTGTCAGTTCAGGACCATGAGTGGATTCAGCCCAGAAAATGGGACAGGGCATTGACCTGCTTGAAAGTTGCTTTGCCAAGAGTTCCAAGGCAGGGGATTCATTCATTACTTCTAGCACACGAGACATGCAAAAAGCAGACACTGCAGAGATATTTTGGCCATTCAGAAGTTTCAATGGCCCGGCTGGGAGTTTTGTCCTCAACTCTTTTTGTTGGCATCTCAACTATTTTGAATCTAAAGCATAATTATCTACTGGTTCTGCAGTACATTGTTTTTTAAGTTCTTTACTTGTTTTTTTATGTAAGGTGATGTATAGAGAAAAATAATATGCCCAAAGTCATGGAGAGAGCAAGTCTCATGAGCAAAACATGCAGCGAGACCTTTTAACTCTGATGCATAAGGAAAAATACACTGTGCCATGATTTTAACATACTCCAGAGGAGACAAACACCTATACCTAATTTTATTCATAAAGGAATGACAAATTACCACATAGGAATGACAAAAAGTAATTATTTAATATACTAAAGGTTTTTTATTGTACAGTTAAGGAATCATTTATAGTTTCCTAAATATCTGGAATTTAATATCTCTTCTATAACTAACAGCTATTCCACCACTTTCTTGTACTTTATCCCTACTATATTTATTTCTTAAGCTAGAATTGAAGTCAAGATATGGTTTTCTCAAAGTTTTTGTGCTGGATCTCAATTGTTAAAACTTGTCCGGGCCTGGGGGGCAAAAAGCTACAGATTCCCCATTCTTCATCCTTTCTCTACTTCAACTAAGATTTGAATATTTTTTTCCTATATAGTTATTTTTATCTCATTTATTCTCAGTTCATTAGTGGTGTGGTTTGAGAATTACCCTCCACACCCTCTGGTGTCCTAAATCAAACACTAAACAGATAAAAAAACCCCTTCATTATTCATTTCTTTTCTGTCTTCAAAGGGTTACTGTCTTTTCCTGTCTAAATAAACAAAGGAAAATGACACTTCATTTTTCATCTCAGAAACCACTAATTTTTACACTAGAGAAATTTTGCTTTCCCAGAAGTCCTGCTGTCTATCATATGAAACAAAATTATTTCAAATGCACTAAAATAAATGACCAATCCACTACTTAGCTGTAGAGTGTGATTATTTTTATATTAATACTACTAAATAGCTTGAAAGAAAAAGAAGAGCTAAGACCTACTTAGTGATTTCTCATCACCTTTTGTCTTGGGTTACAATGCTTGATGTACATCTTTTAAAAGTATTTCTTGAAATTTTGTATATTGAACTGCTCAGTAGTGTCAAAATACTGAAGGAGACACTGAATATCTGTTTAAAAATTCATTACTCCTCATTTTCTTCAATGAACAAAGTACATTGCATTTGAGGTTACACAGATTGTCATTATTTGAAATTTCATTTTAAAATTGATTAATTTTTTTGGCTACTTGCTAAAATTTAAAAATCAAAAGGTAGGGGGGGAGTAATGAAATGGAGAAAGGTTATTTTTACTGGGGAGAAAAAAAATTTTTTTGAGTGGCATGAGACACTGCGTGAGGGAGTAAACTGGGCAAAGACTCGGAAACACAAGCTGTATAAGCTGCAAAAAATAATTGGGCGACACCGAGCAGAAAAGCAGCATGTGGAATTGAATATAAGCAAATTAAAGGTAGGAATATTTGGCTATAATGCTTTAATAAGCCATTGCTGTATGGCAAGTCCACTGACACTGAATAGGAAATCTCTGTCC